GCCCCAGACATAGATGACGCTGTCAGCCTCTAGTAAGAAGTGTGGGCTTCCCTCAGAGTTAAGCTCTTAAGTTGTCAACATCTCAAATTACTTTTATTGTCAGCACATGCTCTTAACGATTGCATTTTTCATATAATATAAGGATGGTGGTTAAATTTGAGGGAAATTCTGTTTCATTATACAACTATGAATTCAAAAATGTCTATGGAACTGGTGCTAGATTATGGAAAACACATTTGCTGTTAAAATTGTATAAGGGTTCATTTCTTTTTATTTTTTGGATTTTGTCATTGGGGACCAAAAGTTTTTAATAGTGAAAGGCACATCTAACTTTGTCAAATGAGACTTGAAATAGAGGGATAGACATCAGTTAGGAGGAGTAATGTAAAACCGTACTAAATGGCCATTTTAGTACCATCACAGAAAGCCCTAGACTGGCACTAGACTAAGGTTAGTAGTTCATTGAATAGTTATGCTGATCACAATAAAGCCACACAGATATAAGAAAAGTGAAGGAGACAAGACCAAGAGATTAATACACTCAAGTCCCTGGAGACAGCCTTTGACCAATTTGTAAAGTGCATTTTTTCAAAAGTCAATCCATACACAAAAGCATTTAGTGTAAAATGTGGCTCAGTCTAAACAATAAGGAAATTTGTAACTGCAGAGCAAGATGTGATTTGCACCATTCAGGGAGATCATTTTTGTGAAAGTTGATGTCAAATCTTGAGTGATGGATAAATGATCTTCCCTTGGGGGTGTGTATGTTCATTTGGAATACCACAGCTTGCTTCAGGCTTGTCATATTTGCCAGAAGAAAACTAATAACTTTAATGCAAATTTTGTGATACGATTGGTGAACAGTTATGCTGAAAATTCACATGGTCGAACACTTTCAACTTTGGTTAATTTTAACAGGTATGCTCCCTGAAGCAAAGTTTGCATTTGTGTTCACTTTCACGCCAAGTATGAGCCAACCTTTCTTGTGGCATCCGATGTGCTACTTCCCACAAATAATTTATCAAAAGATAATAACAGGGTCTGAAATTTTGATCCTAGCAGAATCTTTACGATATTCCTTATCAGTTCTTTTTTTAATTGTTTATTATTTGAAAACACAAGAATACATGTTTGTGCAACTTTTGTTTCTTTTTTTCAGAGTCGCTCAAAGCAAGAGGACCCAGAGCAGGCCCGGCTGAAGCAGAAAGCCAAGGAGATGCAGCAGATGGAGCTAGAACAGATCCGTCAACAGGAGGCCAACATGACGGCCCTGGCTGCCATCGGGCCACGAAAGAAGCGGAAGGTAGATTCACCCACCCCAGGATCGTCACCAGGGGTAGGTCTTTTCAGAAAACTTCACCTTCAGGAAAAATAGTGCCGAGGAAGATTTAATCATTGGTTGCCTCTGCGAATTATTCACAGTGCCATATACGAATGGTATATAGGCTGCCCTAAAATGTTGTCTTGTAACCGGCAGTAGTTAAGCAATTCCTTCAGTCATTAAGAAATTACCCTGTGAACAAAGGCTGGCATTGGTATAAATTCACTGACACATGCCTAATTTCTAGCTTGTCCAAATAAATGTCTCCAAGTATAAAGATAAGGAGCAACTGTACACCTGCAGGCCTTGAACTTAACTGCGGGTGGCCATTGCCATAAATGACCCATTGCACTGGCCACTTTGCCCTCCCAGGAGAGTACTTGTATTGTTTCACAGCCACGTTGGCAGTTGTGGCATTCACCTACGGTGCAATCTGTCAGACCCAATCTGTCAGACCGTTGCCTCAGCAAAGTTTGACCTACAGGTTTAAAAGGCATTGAGGAGGTTTTGTCCATCCCCTTGCACAGCAAAACTACACGTATGAGGACAAATTTAGTAGCACTGAAAACCAAATTACCGTCCTGTTGTGTGAATCAAAAGTCTACACTTCCCTCTTGAGGCAAGGTTTTATAAATGATGGAAAGAAAGTTTATTTTTTACCTGTCGATCTTCAAGAGACTGACATACTCTACACCTTTGTTGTACAATGTCAAAATGGGTATTGAGAGAAACACGGGAGACAGAGTTGGCATTCTTCACTTAGTGAATGAGCGTTCAGAGCTCCTATGATTACTACACACAGAGGAATGTAGTCCAAGAGTTTTGAAATCATTCCACATAGTTGTCTGTAACCATTTATGCAGTATGTGAAAAGTAGATGCTACCTGTACTTTGGGGCCTACGGTATATGTGGGAACACATACACATAGGTGTACTAACCTGTCTTTGTGTTGGAAGACCCAACTTAAACACAGTTTTACCACACCAGCGGCACGGAGATGTTGGTACATTTTGTCATTTTGAACAGTTGAAGGGGAGTGGTCCTCATAGGACAAGAACATCTGTTCCTGACTGCCTCATTTTGACCATTTGAGGTTCAGTTTATTTGATGACAAGATTCTTTGAGCTAAATGCTGTGTTTGAATTCCGTTGCAGTCTGGTTCCTCATCTCTCGGTATGGGAGGTTCCTCAGGGAGTCCATCAGTCACAACACAGGTATGGATATACATACGATGAGACAATGATTACGAATGCTGTATCATGCATGCTCACTGCTGCTCAGTCGATTGTTTGTACTGACACCACACACTTCTTAAAATCTCTTTGAAGTGCCATAATGTCAGTCTAGGTACTAGACGGACCTTGTTGTCTGTGGCTTTGACTATTCATGAAAGTGTGCTAATGGCAAACAAATGAAGCCACAGCCTCAAAATTCATGTACCTCATTCATGTCCAGTGAATAAAGCCAGCGTGTGGATATATTTCCCGCCGGATAGGAATCTCCCTGTGGGATAGCAGGGCTGTTTTTCGGTGATCTCTATGCAGTGGTGATGAGAATTTTGTAGAAATAGCATTTCTCTAATGGCTAGAAGTGACCGTGATGAGCCCTCAAAGAAGGCAGGCTTACAAAGGATAGGGGGAGAATGGGTGTCTCATCTTGCCACCTGTCCCAAGGACAGGCACGAATAAATTTGGACAGGCAGTTTTGCTTGTTTAGAATTTAAAACCCGCAATTGTTTTTTTATATACGTCTTTCAGACTGGTGAACAAGTCTTAACATTTCCTTTCAAAACCGGGTTGCAGTGGATGTATGGCCTCAGATAGCTCCAAGAGGTGTCCATTTCAAAAATCTACCTGGGATAGCCTGAGTAAAGGTTGTTTTTAGCCTTGGCAGGGAAGGGACAGACAGATACATCACTCCTAGATGATACCCTTGGGGGATGAGACATGATGTGCAAAGAAGAAAAGAACAGGCATTGCTTCCACATTGAATTTAAGGTTCTCACTGTACATGAGGACTTGCACCATCCTTCAATAACCAGTGCAGGCCCATATCTGACATATCGTCGGTCAGGATTTCCACCTTCAAATCCAATCCTGCAGCTAGAATATCCTTCTGGATCCAAATGTATTCAACCCATTGTAATTAAAATATCCCTTAAGTAAAGGGTTTGGTTAACCCTTGTGCAACCCGTTGGGTTTTTGTCATGCTATCACAGGTTTTATTAAAGCATACTTAAGAATTTAGTCTGTTGGAAATCAAATCTGTCGCAAAGAAATGAGAGACATCCACACCTTCAACATCTGTTGTAATTGAAAGTCCCAGGGGAAAAAGTTGCTTTGGAAATTCATGGAAGATGGGGGAAAAGAGGACATTTACATGTTGGATGTCACAGAATCTTGTTGTCAGAGGAAAACAAAATCATGGAATCCTGTTCCTTAGAGGAAAAGAAAGTAAGGGAAAAGTCTTAGAAATCGAGATCTAGCAAGGGTTATTTTTAACCACTTCGTGCAGGGGATTCTGAAATCGGAGACGTATGCTTTATGCGCCTGGCCGGGTTACCTGAAATCGGACAAAGGGAACTGGGCCCTGTAACAAAAGACTATACTCCGAACAAAAGACCAGGCTGCTAGGCATCACTGACATTTTTCACTCTCAAAAGTGGAGATAATCCAGCCTTGTTTTGAAACAGTATACCAGGGTTTTGGGCATTTAGAGCGAGCGGATTACCACCACAGACAAAAGCGCTCCACCGCCGCAGCGATGAGCCACACAGCACCGCAGCACGCTAATCTAGCCCCTAGTGAAAAGAGGTCAGCAGCGCACTGTTCCGGGTTTGGGAACAAAAGAAAGTTACATAACACCGCACAATCTGAGCTCATCTTACAAGGCTGCAGGCCTGGCTGAAATACTCGGGCGTCAATGGATTTTTTCTGTCAGGCTAGAGTGGCCACCAGACATTCCTTCATGTGGGCGTAAGTGTCCAGTAAATGAAGATGGAATTTTTTAAGAATTTTGAAAACAGAAAAAAATGATAATCATCCCGGTCCGGCGTCCTCAACATTGATAACTGCCACCGGCGCAAAGTGGTTAATGACCTGTGGGCCCCTTTGATGTAAGAATGGAATAATATTAAACATGACAAATTCTAAGCTGTATCCTTACCAGTCTGTCGTAATGGCTATGGCAGTCTTCCAGTTCATTGTACTAAACAAGATTTATCTAAAAAGTAGAGTTAAATGTCATGGAAGTTGTCATCTTTTAAGCCATGGAAAGTCACGGAAAATAGTCACGGAAATGGGTTTCCAAATTTCAGTGGGAACCCCGATTGTCAGTGTTGATGTTTAAAGCAAAGTTTGGATCAGAAAAAAGAATGACTGTGAATTTCACTGACCAAAAATACAAAATTCAAAATATCTCTGCAATTCAAAGTTGATCAACCAAGAACAATCTGTCTCTATTGTAGCCAAGATTACGGGGTAAGAATGACATTTGTAGGCTTTCTTGAACTTCATTCATTGATCAGAGTATTCTGTTTTTGTCCACTTTTGTCTCTTCAGATTCGGCGTATCAAGAGAGTTAATTTCCGGGACCTCATCTTTCTCATGGAGCAGGAACAAGAGACAAAAAAATCACACGTTCTGTTTAAAATGTTCTTGAAGTAACTCCCGCTTGCCCTGTCAGGTATAGCCATGTATAATTTATAAACTTCTAAGTATAAATATGCTGAAGTATTTCAGCGAAGCAGGTCATTATTTTGTGACCTATTACCTGTTTCACTTTGCACCAAGTAGAATAACTCAAACAAAATTTTGCTCGGAAAAAAAAAACAGGTGGGAAAAAGCATTTCATCTCCATGAAAATTTCTAGATACTTGTTGTTTTACTTGAAACATCATGTCGTTCTTGAGTTTCTTACATGCCAAATGATTTGCAATAGAGTAGTCAGCTTTTCCTTAAATAGGTGGTGACAAATTCTGTGGTGAAGATTGATTCCTTCCCAGTTCCATGTGAATAAATCATGTTTCCAAGCGACAGAAATTAACACAGTAATGCACATTTTACTGCCAGCCCCTCAAAAATGGCAGGAATAAGAGAAAGGCCCAAATTTACTTGAATTCAACCAAAATTCCAAAAACCAAAATCTTCACAAATATGGTTAAGGGTACAAAGACAGAACTATTTTTAAAACAGGTTTCTTGGATTGTCTCAAGTTAGATCTGTTGCTTATGTCGTGATTTGGATGAAAGAATCAGCCTTTCCATTAACCAAAAACATAACCGAAAAGGGAATGGAAAAATGATGACATACTTGTGGTCTCATAAGATGCGGGATGTTGAGGGATTTCGCACTTTCCCCCTTCTTACAGTATTTTTGTTGCTTTATAATTTTGCATTTTGGTTGCATTTGTAATCTGATACACCTGTTCTTGTTGTGACTTCATGTAGTCCTGTTTTTGACCAGTCGGTACTGGCATGTGGTATACCTTGGACTTGGGTGAAACTTTGCTTTCATGAGATAAAGACATTGAAATAAAACATTTTTAATTATATATTCGGCATGAAAAAACCAGCAACCCAAACAGCAAATAAAAACAACACATGAAAGCGAACACAAAAGCCAGGACCTAAAGGCCTTCAGTCCCAATACTTACATATCTCTAGCTACACACAAAAACTAATAGAAATAAGGACCAAGAAAATTTGTATTTGAAAAGCCACTCTACTGTTGGTCTTTGCGGACAGTAAGTATAGCCCAAGATTTAAGTTTTGTTCAAAATGAAACAGAACAAAAAGTAAAGATCTGTTGTACTGCAACAAGATATTTCCAAATACTTTTCTCCTGACAACCTTTCAGTGCCAGTGACTTCTGAACATTACTAGTAACCTCTGGTCGAGGCGAACATTTTGAGAAAGTTGGTGCTCAGATTCTATTAAGATTAAAAAAAAGGACAGAAAAAATATAAGAAAAAGTATATTCTTGGTCGGAAGAAAAACAAATAAAGGTCTTTAATTTGAAGGGTAGAATGAAAAGAATGTTTACTTTTTCAGAAGAACTAAACAGAAAGAAAAAAAGGTTATCCTGGACCACTACCGCTAGCCGCCAAGGACCAAACCTCACCAAATTGAAATTAGGGGCTTTGCCGTCGGTCTGACAAAGCCAAAAAAATGGTTTCTTTACATTTATATCAGTAAATCAGTAAAATAAACTTCTCAAAATAAAAGGTTGTATTTTTTTCCAGTTCTTAATCCGGAAGGTCGGCGGGTCTGAGCACCAACTTGAAAAACTCTCGCCTAATCGTCACAGGGCATGTGTGCATAAATGGCTGAACTTTAGTAGTTAGCATTTGCATCTTGTTTGTGCTTTTTGATAAGCACAACTTCCCATGACGCCTTGTAATTTCCCCCCAGCCCCACTGTCTTCCCATGATGCTCTGTAAACCTTCCCACGATGTGCCACTGAGGGATGGCTGAATCAGACAGAGACAGCTCTTCTTACGAACTGAAAATTCATCACCAGTCTATATATATAGAACGTCCAAAAGGCACACACTTTCTCGGACTAGTTTAAATCGGTGTGAGCTTGTGTGAACTTTGCAAAATGGCAAACTCGTTGTGTTGCGGTGCTGCACAATACATTTTGCACAACATCGTATTGGTTTTTCATTTCCAGTCACATGAAGTTGATAAAGAGTTTCAATCATGTCCAAGTGAAATAACATGTATAGAGAGTGCCTATTGTACATTGTATTCAGTTGTTTGCGGGCATGTGATAGAGCATCATAAAGGCTTGTAATGTCATAAGCAGTCTGCCAGCTGTTTGGCTTGGAAATATGCGAGAGCCTGCTGTCGTGTATTGTAACTGACTCAGCATTTCTACCATTCCCTGTTGTCTCTCTGACATGCACTTAATTAGGCCTCCAGATTAGTCTTTTGGCCGTAACAGTACTCAATATCACATTGCTGGTGCTGCAAGAGTCACCAATCTATTGTTAGAATATTCAAGTTTGAGTCACGATAACCACCTTTTCAGACACAAATTGCAGTCCTGGTTTTGGCCAGGGTTATTTCCCACCTTAGAACAACTTTAACACCACCATGACGGACATCCATACCAAAAAGGTTTTGTGCAAGCAACATCTAGCCGTGTATTTACACTACATCTATTGCATTTGGTGAGCTTTCAGTCCATAATACAGATATGATTGATTCCTTTTTTTATAGTTTGCCAAAGCAGGAACACACAGGGATTGCAATGATAGGGTAACTTTTAATAACGGGAATGAAAAAAATGTAATGCTTATTTTCAATATCGTCTGCCACAGCTTTGGTGATATTTCTTATTTATGAGATCATGTTTCAGGTCAGATTTATTATTATTTGTTTCAGTTTGTGGGATGTGATTTTTGTCATTACCTGCAGAACAGAACTCTAAATTAAATGCAAGGAAGATGGTTAATTTCTCAGACAAACATTTAGGAACTGAAGCTGTCACAAAAAGTGCAAACGTTTGCCTCGCCATGATACATGCACCATTGTGACTTTGTTTAAGCGCTCACTTTTATATCGGACGTCATCTCAACTTGAAAATAGTAAAGATAATTCTTTGTGAATTTTCCCACAAAGACATGCTCACGGTGGTACATTTGAAGACAAAGTGTTTAGAAATTATTGTAAAATTCATGAGAAATAGCTTCATAGAGGATTTGGTTTCAACTCTTGTTTATAGTATTGAAATTGATAATTTATCAGTGTAAGATATTAGTTTGGTCCTAGGGAAAGAGTGTTTTATGATATGACTGGACAGTGTCTCAGCTGTTGTCGGTCTTCAGACGATTAAGTTATTGGTTAACATCTTTCTGCACGTAATGTGGTGTTTTAAAATTATAAATGCACAAACCGGAGTGAAAAAAATACTCGACAGCCAGGCCACAGTGCGTAGGGATCGGTGTAGAGATTGAGCTGTAATAAAAAATTGATCGATCCAGAGTCTGCTTGTGTAATCAGAAGTCACAAGCTATTCAGATGAACTTTACTCAAGTTTTCATCCCCGGCCTTTTATTCAACTTGTCGTTTCACTCATCACAGACTTGTGACAGGCCCGATTTCAACAGAGTTGCAACGTGAAAGAACCACCGACTTTCCTGCGTTGTTGCATTGTAGCATGACTGGAAAATTCTATTCTTTGTTGTAGTGTTGTAGCCAACCAGACCAAGTTGAATACAATGGGTCAGCCAGAAGTGCAGCTTATGTTGACACATAAGAATATGCTGTAGCATTACATTTCATGTTGTAGCACAACCTATCACAAAACAACGTACCCATGATGACAACATGGAGGGCCCTTGGTAGTCTGTGTGTCACTTGTGGCTTATCAACGCTGAAAGGCAAACATGTTTGGCAATGATAACCTCACATCAGTCACTGTTGCGTTGTCTCCAGGATTGCCTGATGACAACGCTTGATAAACCAATCGCTTTAATAGCTCAGGTGAGACAATGGCAATGCTACATATCAGAGTCACTGGAAAGGCCAGACCAATTGCTGACTTCCAGTTTGTGTACATGTAGTTGTAAGACTGACCAGGAATACATGCATATCTGTAAGCGTGGACAACAGAGCCGTACGACTCAGTTAAGAGTTGCAGTATATATTTTTTTTTTCAGAGACACACACGGGACAATATTGTGTTCCAGACCAACCACCGAATCTCACGGTAACTTTGTGTGCATGCCAGCTCCCCCATCGTGCATGTTTATTGTCTTTATTGAAGTTTGTTCATGATCATCCAGAATAAAATTAGTTCGGCAATTCGGACTATTTTTTCAGTGATGCCCAGCAAGTGGTTGAAAGAGAAAAAAAAGAGACTGATTCCACGAGGATAAAACATGAAGTGTTCGTCCATTTGTTTGTTTTAATTTCAGGGCCTTCAATTTGTAGCACATAGTCAAAATGAACTTATCGTTATGTTCATACCTGGCTACTTTTTGGGAAATTAAATGATTTTTGTATAAAGTAATATTACTGTATAAAGAATCCAACATAGCTCTTGTAAAGAGAATCATGTTAATTGCCGGGTCTGTTTGAAATTGAGGACGCCCGCTGTAGTCCAGTCAGCTTGTTTAACCTTTGACCTCGTGTCTATATGTATAAAAGAATGGGGCCGCGAGGCAGAAACAAGAGTTGACCTTTATTTGTTGACATTTTTGTGTATCTAGAAAATTGTTATAATTTTATTACGGAGAAAGAAAGAGCAAGACGGAAAGAACATGGAATGGATACATTACATTTACAGTGTGAAACCTGTTCAAATAAAACATTTATTACTTTTAACGACTTGTACTTTGTGCGTTGTCCATTTTTTTTTCTACCCAGTTAACCGAGGTCTTCGTTTCGAGCTGTTAATGAAGTTTTAAAAAAATGCGGAGGTTTGTCGCTTGGTCGCGTGCGCTGGCGTGCCGTGCGAGTGGCTTGTCTCAAATTGGGTGATCGTGACCAGTTTTTCAAAGTAAGTATCCCGTTTGTCTGGTTTGAGGCACCTTTGTAAAACTCGTAATTGGTGTGAGGAGGACAATCCATGGATTATTATACCCAGCAAGAAATGAAACCGAGGGGTACCCCCCACCATGTCCAATCCCTATACACATTCCAGACTATTGTTACTTAACACATTCCCCCAAGATGTCTGAAAGGAATTACCCAGATTCCTGCGAGACAATGACCAACACAAAGCAGGGGGGTTGTCTCCGTCTCATACCTTGCTGCATATGTGGATTATTCCTCCACCATGGTGAGTCTGCCTCCACAGTTAACCAGAACGTGATCTCGAGTAGGTTTACAGTCAGTTCTCACTGACATCCCCGCCCCTTGGAAGAGCCATTCCGCTTCGTCGGTTGTGCGCATGGTCAGTGGGTAATTCGAGTTATAATGAACATTTCACAGTACGTGTATGTCTATTCGAAATTTCCGGTGGTCCCAAATTCGTTACCTCGAGCATCTTAATTTGCATTAATTGACCATTGTGTGGCCTCGGAGTACTACTTTTTCTCAACCAGCTGCAGCCTACCCGTGTTTTTAGATTGGGGGACCACCTTTTGCTTGAAACGATTGTCCATTTTCCAAATAAATAATCCTCTCTATTCCCTTCAGAAAGTTGTATAGTAATGTAATTGTACCTGTCAACTGTATTCGTGGTAATGACTCCACTTCCCACCCCCGACCTACCGATAAGGGTGACCCTTTCCCGGTTAAGAGCAAGAGGGTTCATCATCCAAAGTCATCCTGCAATCTACATGTACATATAGTTCTTGTCCGGCGAAAGCCACAACCTGCCAGTAGCGTGTTCGATTTCTTCCATGATCCCAGGAGTGGGGGGGGTTACATCCTCTTTACTTTTTTTTTTTTTGGGGGGGGGGGCTATTGAATCAACCCCCATACTTTATCGTGGAAAGAGATTAATTTGAATTGTGAAGAATTTTTGGAGTTCCCAACAACGAAAACGTAGGCCCTAACGCGTATTCAATAGCGCTCGAAAGAAAGAACAATCCTAAAAGCCATGCCGTTCTGATTGAAGATTTATTTATCGGTAATACGTAATATTGCAGATGTACGTCTGTATCATTAACATCGCTGCCTGTATAGTATCATATGGTGTAAGCACACACCCACCCACCCACCCCGGGTTCATTGCGGAGTGGAGAAAGTCATCTCCCAACACACACTCCCGATCCCCCAATTACCGGTACAAATTTACGCCACTGACTTCCCCGCTGTTACTCTTGTAAGCGCGACTTCGTTCGATTTGACACTCGCATTATTTTGGTCGCTACCCAGGTACCCATAAAAAGTAACCGACCCGCTGAGCCGGTTGCTCGGGGAAGTATCCCAAAATGCAATGCAAAAATATGGCGGTGAGTTGAAAGATGCGGAGGAAACTTGAAGCTGCCATAACTAGTTCCAAATAAGTCCTTTCATGTATTCCTATGGGTAGATCGGCTCAAGTCAAGTAAGTCATGTAAAATAAAGACAAAAGAAATGCGTGTTTGGATATCTATTTTTTATTAGTATTTTTTATTTAATCTGTATGATCTCTTGACCTGGCTTGGCACTTTGAGTAACTGCAATCTTTCCTTTATTGCCACATACTGCTCATGCCTGCCTAAATATACGATGACACCAGGGGTATGACTATAAAAACGCGAGCGAACACGCTGAAAATACATCATCGGAAGCATGCCTAGCGCCCTCTTGGGTTCAGTAATACGAAGACAACGTGCAGCTATCGGTATGTTCGCCATATGCATGTGCATGGGGTTGGTTGGACCAAAACGCCTCCGAGTTAAGTTTGTTCACCTAAGACTTTCCAGCAATTTGCGTCTTTCCCTGTGATCCTATTCCTTTCTACTGGTTTTGTAATTTATTTTTCCGCCACAACTTTTGAAAATAAAATAACCAAGAGAGAAATAAAAGACATGCAAGACGAATTCGGAATGACCATCATCTATAACAAGTTAATGTAGCCGTGAATTAAATCTTCACTAAACACACGGTAACTCTCACGGCAACTGTTTTCACGAATATCACGTGATTGGGGGAAGAAAGCGCCCTGACCTGTCGAGGAGGAAAATATTTTCCCCCTTCCTCATCCCTGAGGGGACAAACGAAGATAATTTATTCCATTTGCGCCAGCAAAAGCGTCGAGCCCCGTGGGCAAATGCATCGCCTCAAGCGTACGGGGGCACCTGCAAGGGTTGCAGTACTACAATCACCCCCTTCATCGGTGAAGTACATGGGAACACGTTTTTAAATAAGCAATGATGCAGCTTCTAAATTTGCTCAAAATGTATTCCCAGAGTTTTTCCACTGGCATTCACGATAAAGCAGATGTTGCACTTGGAACGCTGTCTGCACCACTAAGGGGGGTGTGTTCACAATGAAATATGATTACATCTCACCATTTCTGCGGTGTAATTTCTTCCTTCCCCCCTCTTGCCGCCAATACATCCTTCTGAGTGTAGGCTCAAAATCTATTTACCATGTATTTGTTTTAGCACGGGTAAATGATGAATCCTTATTTGACTGTTTACTTTTGGAATTATCGGCCGCCTTGCTAGTACCTTCAGCTGTCCGTAATCAGCATAAATCATGCATTGCCAGGATAGAACAGACCGCGGCTGCGCTGGGCGCCCGAGGCGGCCGGGCAGTTAGCTCGAGGCACTGCGCATAAACAGATCGGTGTTTGTCGGTTCTGTGGGAACACTGCGCTGTTGACAGCGTAGGATCCGAGTATTGCTGAGAAGTGGGGAAAGAGCTTACAATTCAATGTAAAGAGTATTTTGTTAACGTCGTGCTCATTGCTGGTGGCCCAAGATTTATCGAAAATCCACTTTTCGCCCCTCAAACTATTTTTGCCCTCTATGAAAATTTAAAAAATACATTTAAGGTTAGTCAGTGAGTTTAAAAGAAACCGAAAATGATATGAGTGTAATACCCAGACTTCGTTGTTACTGTTGTTGTTGTCGTCAGTTTCTGCTAATTGGTGTTTTGCAAGACATGCAAAAAACGTAACTTTACATGCCATTTAGGACGGATTAAAATTCGAAACGTGAATCCTCTTATTGCATGTAAGAGAAATATTTGAAAGTTAAGATGACTTATTTAAACCTATAAATCTGGAAAAAAATAAAAACTTGCTCACAAACCATCCACAGTATCTATGAAAAAATACAAATCAAAGAAAACATACAAACAATCTTTACTGGTTCGAAACCAGGCACTTTTAACCTTACGTGAGCATACCGTTCTCGCACGGCACCAGTTTTTTTTCCAAGACAAGTCAGCGAAAAAGGGATACTTTTCACTGATGTGCTCAAAATGCACGTGGGCTAGGACACAACCTGTGGTCTTAACTTCAATGTGATTACCGTAACAATAACACATTAATGTCGTGTTGAGTAGGGTCTTCATAATTGTACCAAAGATACGTGCATAAAGTTTTAAAAATGCGACGTTGGACAGCCGAGTTCTGAGGAGCGGCTGTGATGGCCCAAAATAAACCGGCTCGTTTGGTGACTATGTCTTCGGCTTAGCTCCGTAGCTAAAACTTCAGTCCGTAGTTTTCTCCATGGCCTCGTCCGAATCTTATGTCTAGAGTTACGTCTAGATCTTTGCCAGTTCCAAATGTGTGGGCATGCTGATAGACGTAGCCGTAGCTCAGTTAAATTTAGACATAGCCCTATAATTTCTCTATTGATTACCATGGTCACGGTCGTGTACTCTCTGCCTTCTCTTGCCGGCGACGTACTCCATGTCATTGAACATAATTATGCAGGCAAACTGCTGAAAGTTGGTTCTGGCTTATCACAGGTTCACACTGTCAAGCAAAATAACTCCTCAACTCTGATACCCTCCTGCATCCGGTTGCCGATGGCAGATGTAAATAAGTTCCTTTTCACTACCGTACCAAAATGCACAGGCATGGCTTTGCATGCTTATGGCGTCGAGAGAGTTTCGGATACGTTCACCGTGAGCATTTCAGTGGGAGTGCTCGGCCCTGGTTCCGGAAAATCTTGACAATATGCGAGTCTGATTTTAGTTTTAATTAGCCATTTAGGTCAAGCTCATCCGTGAATTGTGTATATGAGGTGAAAAAAATAGCACTTAAATCCCAGCCCCGTTCAAAAAATCTGGTAATAGTCAGAGTCAGAGTCATACTTTCGGTATACTCTCAGCTCCGCGAGTGAATAACAGACTTGACCCCGACAAGTTCATACTCTGTAAAAGAAAAGTAATGGACAGTCATGAAAAGTTCATTTCAACCCCCTCTCTCCAATGCAGAAGCATTTTTTTGGGGGGGGGGGCATAATTATGAGGGTTTGTTTTTATTGTCAAAGGATTGTCATCCTTAAGAGAATCTTTTTTTTTCAAGAAAATCAAATCCCCATCCCGCTGGATACGGGACTGCTCCTAGCAACTCTTCTGACAAAATGATACTTCAGTGCTAATAGAAAACGTCTTTAAACTACGCCATCCCGTTGCAAGGCACATTCCGTCATAATTATATTTTAAAAAAGGACGCCCAACGTTCAGTCTCAATCCTGTGGATTATTCCAATGTGCAGAATATTTCCCTGTCTTAATGACCTTTTATCAATTTGTTGTTGTGTTTTTTTTTTTTTAAGTCTTTATCGTACCTGTCGTTTTGTTGCTAGATCCTGCAGGTTTGACTACCGGTATACCTTATGAGTCTGGCATAACATTCTTTGCTGGTGGTGCTACCATAGGGCGATGTTGATATGCAGCGCTGGGGAACATCACCATGCAATTATATTACCTCCA